GGTGGGTATATAGATTATTTTAATTTTATAATATAATTATTAATTAAAATGAGAAAAACCTGAAAATTGAATAAATAAAGTATAAACCTGATTTTTAAAAAGAGTAATGCTACTTGCAGTCGCTCACTGCAGCAGTCGCCATATGTGACACACACATGTCATGTAATTATTTGATGTATTAATGTGGTAGTTTTTAACCACATTTAATGTATCAAATACACACTTGATATGTGTATGTCACATATGGCGACTGCTGCAGTGAGCGACTGCAAGTAATATTATTCTTTTAAAAATGTCAAAACTAAATGCCTGATTTTATGCAATTTTCCCATATTTATTCATATATTGTACTTAGGGCCGTCTATGGTAATAAGCAGGCGGGGCCATTGGAAGTTGGGAATTGTGGAAATACACACTAGCCCCTTTTTAAAGATGGCAATTCAAAAAATAAGATGTAAGATTTGCTTTGTTATTGATTTATTAGAGCCTGTTTGAGCTTTATTTTTTTAATTTTTTTTTTGGTAAAAAAAAATGCATTTTAGAATAGTAATTTGATGGAGAATGAGTGGTTAAAAAATAAGAAAAATTTTAGATTTTCGTGTAATATTATTTTATTGAAGAATGTGTAGTTGAAAATAAGAGAGAAAAATATATTTTTGAGGATAAAAAAATCAAAATTTTGATACATTTTGATAAAAGTTGATAAAATGTATAGTTGAAAAGTTGTGGGACTCATAAAATATGTGATTGAAATGAATTGTTGATTTTGACTTAAATTAAAATTTAGATTATAATCGGCACCAAACAAAGACTAAGCTCCCGTTTGGTGTATATTTTTGGAAAAGAGAATGTATTTTTACTGTTGATGTGATGGAGAATATGTGGTTCAAAAAGAACGAAAATTTATTGATGTGAAGGAAAATATTATTTTATTGAAAAATGTGTGGTTAAAAATGAGTAGAATGAGAATGAAAAAAATAATGTAGCTCAAACATGAAAGCACTATTATTCATATGCATTATTCTAAAACTTAAAAATAAGAGTGATTTGTGTAATTTTTGAATTAGGTGGATATATTTAAAATTTTCATGAGCGGCGATATGGCTTTTACTCGAAACTTGAAATAAGAAAAAATTATATAATTTTTTTGAAAATGGATGAAGTATCTTTGAAATAAGAAAAAATTATATAATTTTTGAAACTTTATAATTTTTGAAAAGTTAAATAATGTCTTTGAAATTATCAAAATCTCAATCATATCTCAAACAATTGTATTATTTAATGGATAGAGATTTGAAAGTTGTAACAATCCTACTTTTCCGACTCAATCATGTATTTATTGGATAGGGTAACAAATATGAACCTCTACGCAACTTTTATGATGATGACAAAATTTACTGTGCAGTATCTTTTAAAGGAGAGTAATATATTAACGAAAATCCCACGCTCCGCATTTCAAAAGTCAATTATTACCATCCAGAAACCTCACTCTTTTCTTCCTCAAAATACCATTTCTTCCATTTCTCTTGAAGTTTCCACAATTTTCTGTATTGGAACACGTTTTTGTGTTTCTGAGTAGGATTGATTATTGAATTCAAGAAATCACCATGGACGGAGGTGGCGACGGTGGCAGAAATGGTGGGACTTTCGGGGTACAGATCTGGAACGGCCCTCGCAGGCTCCCGGATTTCCTCCAGAGTGTAAACTTAAAGTATGTTAAACTGGGCTACCATTATTTGGTCTCTAATTTGTTTACTCTTTGCTTAGTGCCCATAATGTTGATTATTATTATCGAGTCATCACAAAAGAACCCTGATGATATCCGACAGTTGTGGCTTCATTTGCAATACAATCTTGTTTCTGTTATTATATGTTCTGCATTTCTTGTATTTGGATCCACTCTGTATATTATGACTCGGCCTAGACCTGTTTATTTGGTTGATTTTTCTTGTTATCGGCCTCCTGATAATCTGCAAGCACCCTTTCGTCTGTTCATGGAGCATTCCCGGCTCACCGGGGATTTTGATGATTCGGCACTTGAATTTCAAAGGAGAATTCTTGAGCGTTCGGGGCTTGGAGACGAGACTTATGTTCCTGAGGCCATGCATTCCGTTCCTCCCCGGCCATCAATGCAGGCTGCTAGGGAGGAGGCTCAGCAGGTGATGTTTGGGGCGTTGGAGAATTTGTTTGCAAATACCAATATTAAGCCGAAGGATATAGGGATTCTTGTGGTGAACTGTAGTTTGTTTAATCCAACGCCATCACTCTCGGCCATGATCGTGAATAAGTACAAGTTGAGGGGGAATATTTTGAGTTTTAATTTGGGAGGGATGGGCTGTAGTGCAGGAGTGATTGCTGTTGATTTGGCCAAGGACTTGTTGCAGGTGCATAGGAATACTTATGCAGTTGTGGTTAGTACTGAGAATATTACGCAGAACTGGTATTTTGGGAACAAGAAGTCAATGTTGATACCCAATTGTTTGTTTAGAGTTGGAGGTTCAGCGGTGTTGTTGTCTAATAAGTCAGCTGATAGAAGGAGGGCGAAATACAAGCTTGTTCATGTGGTGAGGACGCATAAAGGTGCGGATGATACTGCGTTCCGATGTGTGTATCAGGAGCAGGATAATGCTGGGAATACTGGGGTTTCTTTGTCAAGAGATCTAATGGCTATTGCCGGTGGAGCTCTGAAGATTAATATCACTACGCTAGGTCCTCTTGTGCTACCGGTCAGTGAGCAGCTTTTGTTCTTTTCCACATTGGTACTCAGAACGTTGTTTAATAGGAAAATAAGGCCTTACATTCCCAATTTTAAGTTGGCGTTTGATCATTTCTGCATACATGCCGGAGGAAGGGCAGTGATTGATGAGCTGGAGAAGAATCTGCAGCTGTTACCGGTTCACGTGGAGGCTTCAAGGATGACTCTCCATCGATTTGGGAACACTTCATCGAGCTCCATTTGGTATGAATTGGCATACATTGAGGCAAAGGGAAGGATGCGGAGGGGTCACCGAGTCTGGCAGATTGCTTTTGGGAGTGGGTTCAAATGCAATAGCGCGGTGTGGGAGGCACTTCAGAATGTAAAACCATCTCGTAATGGTCCCTGGGAGGATTGTATTCACAGGTATCCTGTGAATCTCATCTCATAGAAAGATCAGACTATCACTTGGGATAGAATATATGTAGTCCAGTCTCCTATCTCTTTGTTCTTAGTTTATGCAGTACTTTATATGGTCTCTTTACCTGAATAAGAAATACTTTTGAGTTCTCCTTCAGTCGTGAATCCATATATTTTATAGTAAGCTGAGTTCTCAATCTTGTGTTGTGCTATTGACAAATTACATGATTGCCTGTTACCATAATTCTTGACATGGATGTTCACCAGGTTGTAAATTTTGATTCAAGATATGCTTCTCGGAGATTTTCCCTTTCTGATAACATTTCATCTGAAGAGAACCATTTCTCATGAAGTTACTGTAAATGTTGTGTAAGTTGATCAAAAAATATGTTGAATTGAAGTATTGCCCTCTGAGTGCTAAAATTCTTATTAGAATTCACATTTTTACAAGGAAAATGTTTACACCTACAGGCTGTAATCCTGCACGTGCACAATTTTGCTTGGTCAGTCGACAGGCTACACTTACGCTATGCATACTTTCTTTTTGGATTAGATGATCGAACCCTCTGGACATCTCAACCGAGTACATTCTATCTGTAGTTTGGTTTCCTTCTGTCTATAGTGCGGACATTTCAGCATTACTTTCTTCGCGACATTATAGGAGTCACTTTACTTAATCTTTCGACGAGTGTTGGTAGTTTTGAGGCCTTTCTTCTAACTAGTGTTACTTTTTGTGCGTGCTACATACGTAATTCTCTGTGTGTTCGCATACCAAAAGGAAAATCTTAGTCCAATTGTCGATAAAGTTCATAGAGTTGATTAAACATAAATATTTCTTATCCATAACAAAATTGTAATTTAGTTTCATGCAAAATACAAAAAAATATCTCGAATTTAATTTCATCATTAATAACAATTTAATGTAGTGATTGGTTCTTGCAGGAGCCAAGAGAGAAAATAATAGAAGCATTTGTGGTAAAAGTCAATTCGTGTACTGGTAAAAATCAGTAGGAAGACAAATAAATAATGAAGAGGATTACAAAGAATGTCCAAGCAGGTGGCTTTGAATAAAATGTTGAAAATTCTTTTGATAAGAGTGGAACGTCCAAATGATTTTTGTACTCTTCAAATAGAAAATTCTTGTTGTGCATCATCATTTACATATTATTTTGCAGATTTGATGAGACGGCAATAAATTAAATTAACATTATCAAAAAAATAAAAAAAAATCATAACTTAAATGATTGTGCTCATTTAATGCTGATTAATGGCAAAAACAAAAATGAAGATTTTTTTTTTAATTTGGTTGGTGAAATTTTGACTTGATCAAATCTTGCCACGTTACCTGTTGGTAAACGAATCCGTAAGTTGTGATATACATGTAACACAATCGATATTCTAGACAATAAAAATACACACCAACATTTATAATTATTAAAATACTCAAAACACAAATATGTGAGAATTACAAAATCCAGTAGCATGCAAGCCTTTTGGGAATAATGAGCCAAGGGACTAGATCAGTAAGAGCTGAATTCTGGATTCACCTCGCCAACAAAAAATGGGGAAAAAAATACACTTCAACGTGGTAAATAATACAAAACTGGACCATTGACCCAAAAAAAAAACAACAACAACAACAAATGGACGGGAAATAGAGAGCAAATGACAAAAAAATTCATCGGAACGAGAACTGGATTTCTTCCAAAGTTTTTCCTTTAGTCTCAGGCACCCATATTGCCACAAATAACACAGTGAAAGCGCACATGAGCATGAAAAGAGTGAAGGTACCTGAAAATTTTGCAAGAACATTTGAATAGTTCAAAAAGGTAACCATGACGAGGGTAATTACTGCTACTGATGATAATAATTTATATCCCAGAATGATATCAGGAACAAGTTAAGGCAATCATCCAATCGGTTTACAGTACTAAATTCTGTACACAAAAGTTTGCATAATGTGCATGACAATTCTATTCGACAATGTATACACGATTGATGATTTCAAGCACAAGCATGTAAATCCTGTAAGCAGGAATATTTGTGCACATGCATATTCATGCAGAAATACTCTCATTATAAGCTGTTATTTGTGCTCCAAATTAAGCCTCTTACTCCATTCTTTAATTACACTAATCAAATGAAGAAGCATCCCTCCATTTCTTTTAAGCTGTTTCACATTGACAATTGATGGGGGAATCTCAGACCTACTGGAACTCTTTCATTAGATATGATATAACCACACAACGGCTAAAGCTTACTGGTTAAAATACACACTTATTTCCATCCTAGCATGGTATTATGATTTGTAGATGTTTTCATCAAATAGAAACTAGACTCGGGCTATGTATGTGTAATCTATGTTTTATCCTTTAAACAACTTGTGGGCGTGCTAACAAAGAATTGCCTAGTAAAACTTTTCGTATCATGTTGGCAGCTTGGGATGAAACATCTTTGCACTAGTCGAGAGAGAGCGTTGGAATAGTTAAGTGCAAAGATTTGATTGTAATTTGTACTGACTTCATCGTTATCTTTACAAGATTTAGTTTCTGATTTCTAGAACTAAATTTAAGGGAGTTGCTATAATGGCCTGGTGCACATCAACTATGGAAATTATATAAGAGCCATTGCATTTGTGAAAAGTGAACAAGATTCCCCATATTCTCACAGAAAGCACATAAACATATACAAGAGATGGTGTGAGCAAACCTCCACTGCTCCAATCTAATAGCAAAGGGGCAGTCATCGTGATAACCCAGGACAATAACCAGTTGGCCAAAGTTGCCACACTTCCAGCAAGGCCTTTGATTTTAACAGGAAGAATCTGAAATTTCAGAGGAAATATGGTCACTTCATATGTACCCAAGAAATTCTATTTACATCTAATTTTGTTTTAGGTTCTTTTTCTTCATTTTTTTCGGGGGAATACTACATTTTTTGGACAAGAAAAGTTTTTAAGAATACTAGTAAGACGCACGTGCAATGCACGTGCCATAGTATAGTTGACTATATGATAGCGTAAATATATAAAAAAAAAATTATTTGTCTTAAGCATTAGTTACATTAAGAGTGTGTTTGGCACACATTCTTTTGAAAGAATGTATTATTGAATAGTATATTGATGGAGAATGTGTGGTTAAAAATTAAGGAAAAATTATTGATGTGATGGAAAATATTATTTTATTGAAAAATGTGTGGTTGAAAATGAGTAGAAGAATAAGAATGAAAAAAATAATGTGTACCAAACAGGGCATAAACTTAAAACACTTGAAATGATGATAGGTAACAAAATTAAGAGACTTGATTCAAAGCTTATTTTCTAGACTTTGCGTTTGAAGGTCTCTCTATTTTTTTAAAAAAAGATAGGGCATGGATGATTAGATGTTGATGCCCTACTAAAAAGATAATGAAGTTCAACATAGCCCTCTTTTTTCTACCTATTGAGGCAAGTCATTATGTCTCCTTCATCTTGTGCTCATAGAATCTCTAATTACATGTATCAGTTGCACCGGTATTTAATTTACTTACCAAGACCCTATGCAAGACGTATGTAGTTAAGACTAATTAATTAATTATAATACAATGCAGAATTTATAACAAATCAAGGGTCTCTATCAGTATTAAAATCACTACACAACGAAAACTTCCATCATAGAGACAAAAAGAATGACAAACGATCACCTAACTTCATAAATTCTGTCGAATATCTTTTCAGCATTTTCTAATGATATTGTACATTAAATCCATTTTTTTAAAAATCAAAATAATCCACTTTATAGAAAATGTTTGTCTACTATCACTGCATGAAGTAAGAGGATTCTTCTGAAAATCGTTGAATTCCTTCAATATCCATTTGACGCCATAAATTTACCATTTTTAACCTTAAAAACTGAAGAAAATGAAATTGAGAGAAATTGGTGTGAGTATGGGGGTCGAGTTGTAAAAAAGAAAATTAACGATTATAATTTTACGTTTAATAATTTAAGATAATTTTTATATTTAAACTTAATTGATAATATATTTATTATTATCACATTTTAAGTTTAAAAAAAAAAAATTAAATCGATCCAAATGGATATTTATATCGTGAAATATCGAATCAAACGAAAAATTGTAGAAAAATATAGTTCGAAAAAATGAAATTGGAATGGGGTTTGGATTGAAAAGAAACATAAACAATTACGACTTTACGTTTCACAATTAATGTAAAATTATTTTTGATATTTAAAATTTATCGATTATACATTTTCACAGTCGCACTTCAACATTTCCAAAAAATTTTAAATTGCTTAAAACGAATATTTGTAACTTAAAATACTAAAAATAAAAATAAAAAAAAATCCCAAAAACGGCTTAGCTGAGCCGAGCCATAAAGCCCTTTGGCTCGGCTCGGCTCGGCTTATGAGTAGTAACCACTAAGTGACTTTTATTTACCTAGGATAGGAAAAGTTGTTTAGTCAACGGACAAAAAAAAAATGAAAAGAACCAACTCCAAAGAGCTTAGGTTTGGCCATAATTCAGGCACGGTTAAGAAGAGCAAACAAAAGCATAAGCAAGTACTGAAGTGTACGAGTATTACACAGAAAAATGGCAGTATACACCAAACATTCTGCTTAATTGAAAATGAGAGGGACAAGCATAGTACCTCGGACATGATAAGCCATGGAATAGGTCCCATTCCTAAAGAAAAGGCAATGACCATGCACTGTAACAGAAATGTTGGGTGAAAGAAGTAAGAAATTGTTCAACGGAAACTGAATAATTTTATACTCCTCACATATTTTTAAGAAAACATACCACAACCCCAACTACTGATAGGATTCCGAATATACCATAAGCAGTAGAATCCTCCGATACGAAGCCCTTGAACAATTTCAAACAGAAAAATAACAAAATGTACAGACAGTATGTATCAGAACAAAAACAAGAAACCATACAAAAATGTTCATGATCATAATGATTACCTATTCCCTCTTCTCTGAATGAAAAGAAATTTTATAGCAAAATTACCTTTGAAAAGAATGAAACGGCAACAAGTAGGAGACTAAGAACCATCCCAGAAGAGGAAACCTGCAACGGGAATTTCCATTTCTCGTAAGGCAAACTGATAATTCATAGTCCGAAAAAATGTTTACAAAGCTTTAACTCACAATTAGCAGAAGCCTACGCCCAGTTTTGTCTACCAACCATGTAGAAATTGCAGTGGCAATAACCTAAACAGCGTACAAAATCTTTATAGTAAACAAAAATTAAGAGTTCTCAAAAAAATCTGCTCATGAAACTCATATACCTGAATAACACCAACACCAACAGTTGCAGCATTACTCGATGAGATCCCTGTCCATTCAATACAACTAAATAAGAGCCTTTAACTTAAATTATAAAATAATACTCCTTCCTTTGGAATTGAATGGGCTTTGCTTAGAGTTCACGAGTTAGAATTTCAGTAACTTGTTCTTTTTTCCTTCAAAACTTACGGGAGATAATTGTTATTCATCACATCATATACTTCCACTAAGGGGATTTTTTCGAAGAAGATGTCGAATTTAAGTAAGTGGACACTATTACAGACATCCCAAAAAAGGAAACGAGCTCATTCAACACCAGAGAGGAAGTAACAATCATTAGGAGACGTACGTTGTGAAAGGAGCAAAACAAAGCAAAAGGAAACTTCATTCTAGAAAATTCACAGTAGAGTTTGCGTCTTTTGTTGGTGACGCTTCCATGAATTTTCATTGGTGTACATTTCATAGCACGTCAACAAGGACGAATCATGAATTCAAGAAATTGAAAGTGGTACAAATATGCATATCATTGTGAATTCAACGCAGAAAATACATTGAATAGGCTTGTGTCAGAATCAGAATATTATCACAACATACCAGCAGATTCAAAAATAGTCGTGGAATAGAAGATAACACCATTAATTCCACTTAGTTGCTGAAAGACAAGCAGCCCAATTCCTATCTGCAGGATAAAAGAGCAAAAGAAAATGAAACAACTAGTTGAAAATCATTTTAAAAAACATGAGCACTACATAAGCACAGGAAAATGAGATCTCTCATAAAAACGTGCGCACCATTAGTGGTAACCAGTATCTTTTGAGTTTAAGATCTGCAAAACGGATTGCCGTTCTTCTACTTGTTGATGCTACAGATCTCTGCAAACCAAAAAATTGTCATGTGAAATCTACCTTGACATTATTCAAGAAATTAGTTGTGCCAGCTGGACACCAAATAATAAATTCATACAAGTAAACAGCAAAGCTACATCAAGAAAACGGGTGATATTGTGCTGCTATTTTACTTGGTTTAATATGATGCACATCTTTTAAAGAACACAATCCAAGAGAACTTGCCTTGATTTCATTTACTTCAAGGGTGATATCGGTGTCAAAACCCCGAAGAACTTGTAGAGAAGCTTCGAAATCATCTGTCATTCCCATTTTGGCCTAATTTTTCACAAAGCCATCTGCATTAGTTCTTGTATCTCTGCTAAAACGAGGAATCAAGTTTGATATTCTTCTTCATAAACCTCACCAACCACCGAGGAGATTCCGGGATGAAGAACAGACCAGGTATCAATACTAGACAAGGCAATATTCCTGAAAATGAAAATAAATATTGGTCACGTTTTGGGAGCCTTAGTGCAATCAATTTCTTTCTTCCTTTCCTTTTCTTCTATTAGGAGTTGGGAGTAGTTAAATAGGATATATGTATCAGCAAGGTGAAACTTATAATGACTTAAAATGTAACGATGATAAAATTATTCAACACTAGGAGAACAAACAACTAACTGAAGGGGAATCTAAGGGAAATTTTCACTTCGATTCATTTCAGGTCCCTAATCGTAAATAGAAAAAGAATCAAACCACCAACATGACAATATTCAGGGGCTTGTTTAAAGTATAATATAAAAATGTTTCATCAAAATCAAATTGTGAAAAGCTTTCGGCTATCTAAAGTTCTTACCCAGAACAGCAAGCACTCTCCAACGAACAAATAATCCCAGTAGATAAGAAAGCAAAATCCCAATAGTCACAGAGAGCTACATCATAGAATGGAGTAGAAATCAGTAGCATATCTTAGTGAAACAGGTCTTACTGAAAGAATATAGCAGGGTCCGCCAACCTGGTTTACCGAGCCCAACCCTCCTCTCAAATTTTGAGGTGCTATCTCGGCTATATATACAGGCACCTATAAATTATATTAGCAAGGGAAAAGAGTAATAAGTCAGTAAGGATTCTTTTAATGCAGGGAATAAACACAGGTTCCTATTTACCGTATACGAGATTATTCCCACACCAAACCCTTCCAACAATCTTCCCATGTAAAGAAACGAAATATCCTAATTTAAAACAAAAGGAATTAGATATTAATTCAAGTTCTGAAAGCACACGGTGAAAACAACAACAACAACAACAACAACAAAAAACATCAATTGAGATGCCTACTCTGGCAAATGATATGGCAAGCCAACCAATGATGTTGGGAATGGCAGCAATCATTAGAGACTGCAAGTTATCAAATTAGATCAAAATATTCTGAAACATATGGATGGACAACGTGCAAATATCTAATTAAATAACTAACATTAGTGAAATATTCATACCCCCTTTCTTCCAATGTATTCAGCAATCTGACCACTAGCTATTGCCCCAACCATAGCGCCCACATTTGCTAAGGAACCAAACAAAGAGAACTGGACCGAGCATTTGAGTCAGTAAATATAATAAAAAAAAATACTCTGATAATATTCACAGCAACATATATTTATTTTCACACAAACCTGGGAAACTGTAAGCTTGAGATCTTTGGTAATAGCAGATTGTGTTGGTGAAGAGTAACCACACTTCACAAGAACGAGAAACTGAACATTAATCAAACTCATAATAACTTCAAAACACAATAATTTATAAGAGCAAAAGAGATCATGATGCATCCAAACCGATGAGAGAAGACGTTAAAGAAATAAATTTCAGGAACAGTAAGTTATTCCCTTTTTGGACTATTTCTATAGGGTCTTACGTTATTTGCTTATTGGATATTTTAAATAATATCATGTTTTCTTTTGAGATAGTTTCTTAGTTAGCAAGTTTAGGGATATAGGTATACGAAAAATTTGTGTCATTCAGCCTATCATTACATCTTAATTAATAAACTTTTCCAGTATTAGCATTGTGAGCTTTTTAGAGGTAGTTCGATCCCAATTCTTGGCTTTTTGGAGTGAACTCCATCTTAGTATATGGCTCGATTTTTCCATTACTCTTCTTGCGCTTCTGCCAACATCAATTGGTATCAAAGCCAAAGATTGTTCCACACGGAAGCACATTAGGAAGAAGTTAGATTAAAATGAAAGTTAACTTAAGCTGTTTTCAACACATTCATGAATTCATGAATCAAGAAGTAACTGAAGTTCACGATGAGATGCAAGAAGGTGACTTTGCATCTTCAAACTTTCCAAACTGTCAATGAAGAAAGAATATTTTTTGAACAGTCTGAAATAGTGACACTAACTCGTGAGTAAAAAAAGTGTACAGAAATTCAAATATCTATGATATTTATCCCCAACCTCCCAACTCTCTTTCCAAACATTCCAAAGTCAAATTATGCTGCCACTATCTGATAGGAGCTTTTCAGGTGATTGTGTTAATTATGTAGTTAGCCACTTGTTCAAATAGAATGCATTAATATTTTCTTTCTGTTGACAATAGCTTCGATGAAATTTTTGAAAGTAGTTGAAAAGAGAAATTGCATAAAGGATTATCTGTGTAGGAAAGCTCCATGTATTTTGACCCTATTTGGAAGTATTTTGTGGCACGTCAAGAACTAACAAACAATAACTTCCAAGGGAAATTTAACTTCTTGTACTGTGCTACAAGTGGAAGTCCAAATACAAGTTCAAAAACCAAGATTCATTGCAAGTGAATCAGTTATATTATCTAGTACATCAAATTCAATAAACTGAAAAAGTGAAAAAGAGTGCAACGAATTGATCAAGAAACCAATTTAACGTGAAAATTCGATCACCAATCAGACTTTTCCCAACCAGAGGAGAATTGATTAAAGAAATCATTAAAAAATTGAGAGCTAAAGATGATATATTATCTAGTTTTCTAGATATTAGATCTATATAATTTTCTTCTAATTAATTGCTCAGCTTGTAAATATAGTGATTTTATTTATACATATTCGTGTTTTCTGTCAATGAGATTGAATAAGATTACGGAGATCGTCGAAAATTGAATAAGATTTCAAAGATCGTCAAAGATTACGACTATTATAGATAGATTGCTTTTACTATTAATTAATATTGTAATTGATTGCTACCATATTTAGTTGTTATTTTGGTTTCTATATAATAAGAGAATCTCTCACATAGA